TGGCAGAGTTAGTTAGCTGTTTGGAAGAAAATATTTGACCCCAAAAATTTTCTGTAAGAACTCACTTGTAATATGAAAAAGATAAAACAATTCAAAATTGACCTATTGACGATCGACCTAGGTAACATATAGTTGGAATTAAATTGGCCCTAATAAAAATATGATTGCCTCCACCACTAATATAAACTATAGATAACACTGTAAGGATTTAGATTTTAGAGTATTTTAGTTTTATTTTCAAAATATGAGTTTGGCGGGTTTATGTTTTCAGATTAAGTATTTAGTTTTTATTCCGTAGGGTTTAGTTCTTAGGAGTTACGGTTAATTAGTGGGGATTTATATATTTATTTTGATTAATTTACAAAAATATATACATAAATATATGTAATGAAATGCTAATGTGCTTTTATATAAACACCTGTGTAAATGTATATTCTGCAATATTTCATTTTTTTTTTGAGTATTAGTTATCCGATTTTTATTTTAAGATATGACATATTTGAATTAAAAATACTTTTTGTGGTAATATTATGAGATTCAGTCAGATTATATTACTAGCAGATTGGAGCCAAAAGTAAAAGATTACGTACTGTATCAAACTGATAAAAAATAGAAATCAAATTGTGTAAAAGAAAAGAAATTTAGACAATTCTACATAAGAAATATATGCTTCATTTTGGGCATATAAATAGTATTTTATTATTTTTGAAAAAGATAATATTACTATTTTATGCGATAAAGTCCTTACCAGTTTCCCTAGCTTTAGTTATCTTCTTAAGAAAGATAAAAAAAAATAATTGTTACCACATACTTTGTTAAAAAAAACATACTACTGCAAGACATTGCCCTTGGACAATTATTCGTTTGTTGATTTGTTCCACGCGTCTTTGGGTATGCCATATATAATCAAAATGCTGGCCGTTGGAGGGACTACCACATCTTGTTCGTCAATAAGACATAATGTTAATATTGTCAACATATTTTTTTCCAAACACTGAAGAAGACATCAATCCCAAAAGATCACCGCACATTTGATTTTGTATGGACATGGCGAATATACAGGTACATTACGTAGGTCAAGGCCTTCACAATTGTATAGACATGAGTCTTTATAGCATTGAAAATTTTGAAATGCATTTGGTCCTGTTTTTAATTCATTAAAGGATAAGTGGAGGACGTTGAGTGGTTTACATTGAGTCCGAGGTTGAAGAAGAAGACACCACTTCTGAGAGAGGGTTTCCTAAAAGAGAAACACTATTTCTACGAAAGGATTTGGTTACAACGATGTGCATAGATTTTCTATATCCTGCTTCCTTTCCCTCGACCTTGTGATCTTATCTTCTAGAGCTACGAGTAATACACTAATACATGACATTTTCATATAACTTACGAAAGAAAGAATATTTACTTGTTCCTTGGGGACATCCGATAAAATTAGAAGATACATAGAAATTAGCATAAATTGAGAAATAATTTAAACTTTCTTTACAAAAAAAATAATTATTATTTCCAAATTCTGAATTATTTTTTTTTTAATTCTGGACTCTCTATCGACGTTATGTCTGTAAATAAACAAAAAGCAGTACTATTACAACCGGAAACAAAGCAGGAACCAGAATGGCTAATCTGTCTTACCAATTTGCAACTTCCTTCTATCATGCACCTTCACATCGAATATGAGATTCCTCATCTTTATCTTGTTCCAGTCGAAAATTTGAGAGATCTTCGCTTGGGTTGCAAGACACTCTTATTGGCTCAAACTCCCTATTTGGTGACGGACTTCGTGACGATGGTGTGCGCTGCACTGTTGAAGTGCTAGGAATGCCTTGGGTAATTGGTGAACTGACGTTATGAACGACACTGTTCTTGAATGTATGCGACTTTATGTCTTTTTCGTCAAAGATTCTAAGTAAAAACATTGACTTTTTCCATAAGGAGTCTTCGGAGTCTTGAAATAGCTTGTGCTTATGTTCGTGCAAGAAGTTGGCTACAAAGATGAGAAGTGCCAAGACTGAAGCAAGGCCCGATATTAGAAACAGACCCCAGAAGCTACTAACGCTGAGATGGTGGGAGGAAAGAATAGTGTTTTGATCAGGACAATCACTCTGTTTCTTGAACCATTTCTCCTCAAAGTGTTGCATTTCATCGCTTTCAGTCACATTCAATATTGCCCTTGAAACGTCATCCGTCAGAGGTGAATTCCTGGGGAATACCTACACACAAAGCAAAAATAAATATCACAAACAATGAAAATACCTGAATACTCAAAATACAAAATTATTTTGCTATTTTGTAAATGTAATGTATTTTTTTGAGAAAAAAAATTGAAATATTTCTCAATTGGTGATTTGGGTGTGTCATCCTTGCAAAGAGGTTATGTTAATCTTCTCTGTATGGTTCCAATTTTATCGGATATCCCTAGAGGGACTTGTAAATGTAATGTTAAATGAAATATAGAACTTACAAAACCAAAACCAGCAGTTTTGAAGGAAGGTTCAACCATGGCATATTTGGAGCAATTTTGAGAAAGGATGACTTTAAGGTAGGCCACTTCGTCAAAAGCTGCTGCAATATTCCCATTGGAGAAAAGCTCGTTACATTCTTCAGCGGAACCAAAAGCCTTAAGCTGAGATTCATGAAATCCTTGTTTTTTCAAAAGGCTAAGCACGAAAGTGCCACGCTGGAACCCTACAGATTTGTTATCTTTTATGAGATCTTTCCAATTTGTGACCTCTGGTTGGAACCGTTGTACAGTGAGGAAAGATGTGAGATTCGCTGTATAGCTCTGAATCAGCACAAGAACCACGAAGCACCAAACTGTCACCACAAATCTGGCTAAATTGCTAACCACCTTCTCGCCTATACACATATGAACAAAATGTAACTATATCAGTAATTTTGAATTGATGATAGATAGGAACATAATCTACTATATAAGCAATGTAGCTCGAAACTCATTCTCAAAAGTTCAAAAAAAAAATAACTCTTAGTATACCACTATGCCACAGGGCTTTAGTTCTCAGTGCCAACATTTTAGAAATGAAGCCTATTTTTTTCTATAAAGAAATGTTCACCGATATTAAATGAAGGCCAATAAATCACAAAATTTATCATTAGTGGATTCTTGATTAATTGTTGTAACTTACGGTGGGCAAAATTCATAGTGGAGAAAGAGAACCAGAAACTTGTGCCGATCTGGTGGTGAGGTGGTCCACGAAAGTCGGTGTTGACTCTGTGCTCTAAAATCCACACAATAAACCCAATGAATACAAAGAAGCAACCAGTTGTGACCCATAGGTCATAGCTCCAAGGTTTAAGGAACACCCATGTGTTCTTGTTCCTGTTGTCTTTGAGCGGCACCATCATAGACACTCCAGACTCTGTGTATTAGGGACAAAGGTCCCACATCGGTTGTTGGAAGGAATCCTAAGCAATATATAAGATAGATGGGTCACTCCACTTATCACCAATTGGTTTTAGGTTGGAAGCCCATCTACCTTAACATGGTATCAGAGCCCACGATCCACCCAGTCCAACCCGATCCATTATCGATCCAGCCCAAAGTCGGCCCATTGATCCTTGCCCGAACATTCCGAGATTGATGCCAGAGAGCCATCATCTCGAGGGGGCGTATTAGACACAAAGTGTCCCACATCGGAAGTTGGAAGGGATTCTTAGTGATATATAAGATAGATGGGCCAATCCACTTATCACCAATTGGTTTTAGGTTGGAAGCCCATCTAGCTTAACATGGTATCAGAGCCCACGATCCACGCAGTCCAACCCGATCCTTATCGATCCAGCCCAAAGTCGGCTCATCGATCCTTGCCCGAACATTCCGAGATTGATGCCAGAGAGCCATCATCTCGAGGGGGCGTATTAGACACAAAAGTTGTCCCACATCGGAAGTTGGAAGGGATTCTTAGTGATATATAAGATAGATGGACCAATCCACTCATTACCAATTGGTTTTAAGTTGGAAGCCCATCTAGCTTAACATACGGTAACGTGAAATCAACATACGCTGACCTGTTTGCTATGATTGTTACATCTCCCACAACTGCATCCCACTTCTGTCTCATTTATTATTAATTAATAATGTTAGAAATTTATCTAATATAATCGACATAATAAAATCACACTATGCTCAATATAGGGTAAAGAGATATCTAACCCCTAAAAATACTTGATACACCATATTGTCGTAATTCTCATCCGGAGATTCAAAAGCAAAGTATTGAGGAGTGACTGAGTAAGGCAACTTCCTAAGTGTCGCTTCAAAGACATCTATGCAGTAACCGGTCGGGGTCATTGCGTTACTAACCGGATCTATATTTACCTTAACAAAGTTGAAGAAGCCTTTCTTCAATGGCACCCCTACTTTAAGCTTCTTTCCGGTCGATGTAATCGCCCATCCTTTCGGAACAACATTTGACATTCCGGGCCATCTCACTGGCCCAAACCTCTCCATTGGAGACAATATCGTTTTGTTTGGTTTTGCGTACACTAGTCCACTGCTTGGTGTCCAGCATCCTATCTTTTTCTCTTCATCTCCAATAATATTGATGATCTCAAACGCTGATGACTCACGTTGCATGTTAACGAGTTTAAACTCTCCTGCTAAACCCTTGAATTTAACATCCGAGAGTGCCTTTTGAAGACTTGGTCCGTAGCGAGAGACGCCTAGGGCTCCAAGATCTGTCCTGTTATTCGGGGAGGAGCTAGCCTTATCATACCAAAATTTCTTTGTTCTGGCTCTTTCCACGGCCATAGCCAGTGCAGTGATCGAATCATACGCCCATACTGCGAAAACGTTCAGTTCTGTATCATCATCCCCCACCAATGGAATATTCTCTTTCTTGAACTTTTTTGTCCATCTCAAAGTGAAATCTTTGAGCTCTTTAGATTTGGGTATATGACTCTTCACACCCAACGCCCCTTGCATATTCTCCAAACTGCTACCTCCTTTAGATCTAGTCATCAAGTTCATTATTCCATCTGTCAATAGCCATACATATCCTTCCTCCATCATCCCAATCTCTCTAGCTTTCTTAAAAAAAACGAAAACCAAGGTCTGGTGACATGTGGACAACGAATACTCTTGTCTGCATGGTCATTAGCTTATAAAGCTCCTTGAGAATCTGATCATCATTAGCCTTCTGAGGGATCAAACTTCTGTAGACTACAAAAGCTTGCACGTCTTGTAAAGCATCAGCCAAGTAAGGCACTATTCCTTCTCCAAATGCGTTGTCCTCGTTAACGGTGATGACGTTTCTCCAGCCGAAGGATTTGACAATGGCTGCAACAGCTTTGACCTGGGATGAGTCGTCGACAGTGGCTCGGATGAAGTATGGGCTGTTGATGGATGTCAGAAGAGGGCTTGTTGCAGAGAATGTGATGGCCGGTACTTGAGATTCGTCGGCCAGTCTGATCACAAACTCTGCCTGCATAGAGGATATTGGTCCAATGATGGCACTGACTTGCTCGTTCTTGATTAGGTCCAAAGCTGCTTGCACCACAAGCAAACACGAAGAATAAGAAAAATATGAAGGTTAAATTTGTAATAGTTGGATAATAGTTGAATAATTGACCGGACAATATTTGTTTTCATAGAGTTAAGACTTAAGACTAATAGGGACTTCTTCGACTACCTCTATTGTGTCTATTGTCTGCCGTAACCTACACTTTCAAGCTAAGCGAGAAAATGAAGACTTTGTCTAATACAGCTACACATCGACCACATAAAAGGACATTTGGACGACTCTGAATAGTCAACCGAATGTGTGATATCTATTTCGATTAACCATGTTCATATAAATCGCATCTTGTTTCATACGTATCAAAAGACCAAGTCCTCTAATATATATATATATATACTAGGTGTTTTGCCCGCACTTGCGGGCTTAATAATTTTACTAATATCTATAAACAAATATATAATCAATTTAATTAAATTATAATAAATTATTGTGCATACACTCAAAACATTTACTAATAATCTAAACAAATTCTTTCTATATATAAAATTTTTCATCATCATATAAATAATTATCATTGCACAAATTAAATGTGAAATTCTCATTTATTTAAAATAATTATTAATAAATTACTATGTTTTGGATAACACAATATAAATTATCTATACATATAATCTTTGCAAATTGATTTTTTCATAATTAAATATATTAAAAATATAATTATTTTGCAAGGTTAATAAAAACTTTATAACATAATATAAAAAGTTAGATAAGGATAATTATCAAATTCATGAAATTCGTTTTTAATTTAGAATTAATTATATATTAACAAATATAATTATTTTTCAAGGTTGATAAACATAATATAATTTTTTAAATAAGGATAATTATCAAATAAATGAAATTCGTTTTTAATTTATAATTAATTATATATTAACAAATATAATTATTTTTCAAGGTTAATAAAGACTTTATAACCCAATATAAAATAGTTTTAGATAAAGATAAATCTAAAATCAATTAGAATTCGTTTTTTATTAAGGTTTAATTATATATTGAAAATTTTAATTATTCATTAAGGGTATAAACGATATTAACCAGTCTAACTTTTAACGTGAGAGCTCCGTTGCGAAAAATCACTTCGCAAATAATAGTATAGATATCAAGCATGTATATTTTTTTGAATAATTGATTTATGGCCTATAAATATAACGGTTATTTACTTCACTATTTTGTTTCAAACGCAAAAATTTAATTATAAACAGGTTTTTTTTTTCTAAACGAACTTTACAACAGACAATGGTAACCGCCCTACCTACATATATATCACCATTGTCGGATTTGCCTGCTGCAATCAAAACCGTTATCAGTAATAAGTTTGTTTAAACCTTTTAGTCAAAAACTGCAACTAACGATTTTTTCTTTACAAATTGTAGTAATTTTGTTATAATAAAATAGCTTTATTTTACAACAAATTCATATTTGACATCAAACAATTATTTTATTACTGAAACAATGAGGTAACCTGGCAATGACTACACTGAGTATTCCATTTACAATGATTATACGAATGACTACCGTCGTAAAATTGCTACTATTTTATGTTTAAAATATTCTGAAGTGGAAGTAATAACAAATGCGTCGGAGAAGCAAAAGACAAAGAAGAAGGAACCTGCAGCTGAAGCTTGAACAACATTTTCCAAAGAATCTCTAACGTGCCACAAGTCTTGTGTTGTAATGAGCATGATGATTGTAAAAGTCGGACAACGATAGATTAATAGAAGTGAGGCAGATCTTGGAAAACGGAGTTTGCAGATCAATCACTACTCCTACTTTGATTTCGTTTGTTTGTTTTTTCCCTAAACCAACCTCCACTAACACAAAACTCCAAAGGAACAGAACAAAATAACACAGAAAGATATTTTTAGTTTTTATAAGGTTCATCATCTTCATCCAAAGATTGAGGAACTTTATGTAGTTCTTTAACTTCCCCTTATATGTTGGGCATATAAATAGGATACAAAATCATAGTAGAAGGAAAGTGACATAAGTTAAGGTCTACTTTCAGAGAGTAAAGAAAGATCGAGGAAAATTCAACCAAAAAAAAAACCAAACTTCTTGGAACTTTGTTAAAAATTAAACATAAAAAGTTAATGTTTTTTTTTAACTTAAAAAAAGGTTAATGTTGCTTTGCGAATGTGTTACCAATTCGAAAAGGTAAAAATTTATTATCTATGAGAGTTCATACAATTTTAAAATATTTTTATATTAACAAAGCTTTTAAGAGAATGCTTATGCAATTTTTGAAATATAATGGAAAACAAAACCTAAAATATCTTAAGTTAAACTGTGATTTACAACCTAACAAAACCAACGAAGGGGTCAATGTGAGACAGGAGAGAGGAGATAAAGGATATAAGTCAATATAATCGGAATCAAAATATGTGACCAGGCTAAAGAATGTGGCTACAATTTTTTTCAAAAGGCTCGGTAGTCTCTTATATAATTATATCACTTTCAAAATGGAATTTTATGTACCTTTCAGTGAGTCCAATATTTTACTATTTACATACGGATTTAACCTTTCAGATATCAAATTTTGAGAATGAATCTCAAATTGAGTTTGAGACTATGGATAATAAGTCCATCCATGCAAATCGCATTCAGCTATTGAATGGATCTATACTATTATTTGAAAAGTAAATTTGCTGATTTGTTAATTTCTCTATGATTTTAGATAGATTTACTTATTTTTTCTGTTTCTAATAATTTTATACATATTTTTATATTATTAAAATAAATTAAATTAATAATATTATATTTTAGAAAATAATATAATTCTTATTCTTTATGTTGTTATCTTGAAAATATATTTTTATTGTAAAATAAAAAATAAATATTAAGATATAAAATTATAATTAAATATAAATCATGCAATCTTGAAAATATTTTTTATTAGAAAAATTAAAAATTAAGACATAAAAATTATAATTAAATATAAATCATGAAAAAATATTTGTATAAATATATTTTCTAAAATATTTCTGATATATGAGTGTCGTCTTTTATAATTGATTTAATGTTCTATTTAAATTTTTTGAAAACTTAAATAATAACTTATTATATGAACCATTTGTTTTGGAGAGATTTTTTTAAAAATGAAAGATCATTAATTTTCTTGGATCTAAGGGAGGAATAACAAGACATTCAATATGTTGATCCCAGAAAGATTCTCAAGCTTGCAGAAATGGAATCGCTACTTTGGACTGAGGCACATTTCTGCTTGTTTACTCCAGCCCTTTCTATTTTGTTCACGATATTGTATTGTCAGTTCCACACATACGCAATATTTTCATTCCCCTCTCCCATAGCAGTGACTAATATATTTACAGAGGAAATGCCATTGACGTGGGGCTGGGTTTTATATTTTCACTCAAAATTTTCCTATATCTACTTATCTTATTAATCTTCATGTTATGACATCGAAAACGCAGATTTCTCATATGTCTCTTCCTTTCTTATACTATATATGTGATAGTAAACAACATGGAACCCCTTCGGGGAACGTCACAATTCGTTAACTTGAATCCATTTCCCTTCCTAAACTACAACCGGTATAGTTAATCTATTATTCCCCTCTATATACGTTTATGTGTAACTACCGCTTCTAAACTATAACTGGTATAGTTTAGTCTATTATTCTCTTTCTATATACGTTTATGTGCAACTATCGCTTCTATCCCCCTTCTTCTCCTACCACTACTGTTATGGTTTTAATGATCCACTCTGCTCCATTCGTCTCATAGTGACTCGCAAGCGAGTGAAAGGATAAAACCAACTAGAAGTGTGGATAATTATAACATCAAAAGTCCTATGACTATATTCTTTATTCTCCATTCTCTTATAAATACTAGACAAATTCACCCTTTGTAAAATATGATATTTCACATAACTTTCCAAAGAAAGCATTTTTTTTACTAAAAACTTTCAATTAAAAACATAAATGATTATAAGGTAAGACTACAAAACCTTAAAATTGGTAAAGTTTGCATGAGCGCTTCAGGTTTACTTTTCGCTTGTACCTTACTTTCTTCCATTCCAATTTCCAAGTCTTGAAATTTAATAGGATGTTTTTTCTCTCTCCCATCCCTTGTCAATATAAGAGAGATTAGAGCATCCGCAACAAGGGATCCTTAGGGGGAATCTTTAGGAAAAAAGAAAAAGGGGTATTTCAGATTATATAAGGATATTTCGGATTATTTCTTTAAAATAAAAAATCTGATCAATCGTGGACCGACACGTGGGCAGTGGAGCCCATGAATAGTGTAAGGATTCATCCGGATCAATCCTTACATAAGGATTTTATTCTTAAAATCCTTAACTGTTCATGGGACCCATTGATTATAAAATTAATATTTTCTTAAGGATTCTTCTTAAGGACCCCTTGTTGCGGGTGGTCTTATATGTTCCGACTCAACATCATCCACCGCTTCTAACATAGTGAAATGAGGACTCTCAAATTCACTAATTTGAAGTGATGTGGTTAATTAAGGGATCCACAATGGATTGTTTTTGGACTTCCTTGTTGATAATGTTTGATAGAACTGAATGCATAATCGCTGCGGTAATGGGAGTAGATTGAGAATCTACTAATGGAGATAAAGTGGTGGAAGAAAGCATATTTGCTTCCAAATTCTGAACTCTTTATTGACGTGAAGTCAATAAATTAACATACGAAAACAACAAAAGCAAATACTATTACAACCGGAAACAAAGCAGGAACCGGAATGGCTAACCTTTCATGCACTTTTGAAACTTCTCTCAATCATACACCTTTCAAATCATATACCCTAATCACTCAAAGCGTTATGGTATCGAACCTAATCAACTGCTACCGAGTGCGTCAAAGTATACACCGCTGAGCTATAATAATATCTAGTACAATAATAATACAGCTTATATACGTAACAGTTAATAACAACTTGTTGATAACTTATACAATGTAACTTGCTATGGAGTTTGTTTAGCTCCAGATTCAATATCAGATTCTCCACGTTTATTATGTTTTGGTTGCGTTCTGAAACGTTCTTCACTCATGGAGAAACATGCTCTTCTTAGCTCAAACTCCCTGTTTAATGACATGCATCGTGGCAATGGTCTTATCTGCACATTCGAAGGACTCGGAGTGCACTGAGAATTAATAGGTGAACTCACGTTATGAACGGCACTGTTCTTGAAAGTGTGCGAATTTATGTCTTTCTCATTAAAGATTCTGAACAAAGACTTTAGCTTTCTGCACATGGAGGAACCTTCGGAGTCATTGCATAGCGTGTGCCTATGTTCGTACAAGAAGCGGGCTACAAAGACGAGAAATGCCAAGAATGTAGCAACGCCTGCTATTAGAAACAGCCCCCAGAAGCTACTGAGAGTGAGACGGTTAGATGAAAGATCAGTGGTATCTGGACCAGGACAATCACTAGCGAGGCTTAGACGGTTGAACCACTTGTTCTCTATGAGTGACATTTGTTTGCTTTGTGTCACTTTCAAGATAGCCCTTGAGACATCTCCTGTCTTAGGCGAGTTCTTGAGGAATCCCTACACATAAGCTTGTCAATAAAAATAAGATACTTTTGTTTTTGTTGCCATTTTCATAAAGTAATAAAAATAAAAGAACTTACAAAACCAAAACCAGCAGTCTTAAAGGAAGGTTTAAAACTAGCCGTCTTGAAAGATGGTTCAACCATTGCATATTTGGAGCAGTATTGAGAAACGATATCCTTAAGGTAAGGCACTTCGTCAAAAGCTGCTGCAATACCACCTTTCGATGTCCCTTTGGACAGAAGATCGTCGCATTCTTCCGCAGAACCATAAGGTTTGAGCTGTGATTCAGAAAAGTTGAGACCTAGCAAAATATCTTTAACGAAACCGCCCTGTTGGTACCCTACAGACTCCCCATTTCTGATGAGATCTTCCACATTTGTAGCTGATGGTTGCAAACGTTGAACAGTCAGAAAAGAGGTGAGACTCGCTGTGTAACTCTGAGTGAGTACAAGCACCACAAAGCACCAGACCACCACCACAAACCTTGCTAAATTGCTCACTACCTTCTCACCTATATTACACACCCACAATTAATTTCACCATATCACTACAATGCTGTTTCTTGTTTAAAAAAAAAAAGGTAAACCAGTCTCGCTTATTCTAAACTGGCTATGTATTTAATGATCATTATAATAAAATTTAACACATGTTATAGTTGAATTCTTGATTAGTGTAACAACTTACGGTGGGCAAAAACCATTGTAGAGAAGGAGAAGCAGAAACTAGTGCCGATCTGGTGGTGAGGCGGTCCACGAAAGTCCGTGTTGACTCTGTGTTCGAACAACCACACAACAAACCCAATGAGGACGAAGAAGCAACCAGTGGTGATCCATAGGTCTAAGCTCCAAGGTTTTAGGAACACCCATGCATTTTTGTTCTTGTTGCCCCTCACCGGCACAATCATAGACACTCCAGACTCTGTGTACGGTAACGTGAAATCAACATATGATGACCTCTTTGATGTGATAGTTATATCTCCAACAACTGCATCCCACTTCTGCTTCATTTATCAATTATTGGAAATCAGACATCAAAGAAAAATTATTTCTAAAGAAAACATATTATAATAATATTGATTAATAGTTTAATTTCATTTTTAAACTATTTTATAAGATATATGTAAAATTTATAGAAAAAGGAACTT